GCCAGGCTCGCTCAGACCGGTGGCGGGAACGGGCGGGAGGTGGGCAGGGAAATACACACACAGGCACGTTGTTAACCAGCTAGCAGGGGACGCAACGAGCACAGACTTTGCACAGCAAAACGATATGGGCAGTTGTGCACAAAATGCAGAAACGTACTAATACGCACACAGGCGGATCGCGGGCAGTTGGGAAGAAACTTTGCTCCGAACGTATGTACGACATCACTACATCACGAACGAACACAAAGTGGCACCCACGCAGTGAACATACGGGGAAAGACCTTCATGCCGTACTCCCTACACGCCGCACCTTACCAAGGTACAACAATTTCATACCGAAATCCCCCTCCGTCACCAACTCGTCTACCCATTTGCAACGCGCCTTCACCCATAGAATCCAAGAACGATGGCCGACCTTGATACGACGTGTAACGGCCTCACGGCCGGAAATCTAGGCGCGTTCTAACTAACGTACGACATGTACGGGCGACCGTGCATCCGGCGTCACTCACCGGCAGCGGAAGACGATGTGAGCTTGACTGCGTTGATTAGAAGCGTTGACAATGGGGGCCCTTGCTTCACGCCGACGCAACATCGCACTGGGGTCTTGGAGAGTTGAAATGTGGTGTACGCAGAGATTCTCGTTGCCAGGTGGAACGCGGTCGATCTGGAAGGTCTTGGGCAACTCCAATGAGCAGTCGTCTCTGTCGCGAGGAAGGTCACGGACATCGGACGAAGTGGTCATGTCTCGCCTAACGACGTGTACTTTCCTGCCAGACCGCCTAGCTTTCAGCCTTCGTAGGCTCCTTACACAGCTAAAGCACAACTGTCGGGATTACGCTCAAACGCCTCATACGCCCATATTCTTGCAGCAGAGCGCTGCACAAACACATGCCCGTCGAAAGCCCGTCGACAAAGCCCCTTGTGCTTCAAAGATCCATACACAAGCTCGAGAAGCAAGCATCTCACCTCAAAAAAATGAGTTGCCGCAAGTCGCACCTTGCCCTCACAGATGAGTCAGGCAAGTCCATGTCCATGAAGCGGCGACGCTGTGCCTGAAGCAACGTCAGCAGGGGTTCAATAAAGAAATGCTTGATCTAACCGCGTAATAAATTAGAGCAATGGAACTGAAGTGCGGCGGCTACAGCATGAAGGTTTTGCAACGAACAGTACCTTGCAAACGTTTGCAGGGTCCACAGCAGCTTCTCAGGGCGCCGCGCAGCTGTTCAGGCTTCCTCATTTGCTGGTCATATGTAGGAAACTAGCAGCTTTTACGGACGCACCAGAGCTGGAACAGGCCGAAAAGAAGGGCTCAAACGTTGGGTGAAAGCCTGTGATCAAATATCGGACGTTGTGCACATTTGCTAATGGAGCTGGAAGTGCTATGGGAGGTGCCTTTTGTCAGAGGCCAGCTAAATTGTACGGCGCAACAGCTGCAAATCCAAGTGTGTTGGTAAGGTGCAGTTCGGCGAACTCACTTTGTCGACAGTTAGCCTATTAAACTTTTATATTATAGCTGTATGTCACTGCATTATCACGTTCACCTCCGTTCCTCTGCACCTGGTTACGTCCTCCCCGGAAGCAAGATCCCGAAGTGCAAGCCCTTGCAAACAACAGGTCAAGTTATCATGAAGGCCGTTGCTTCATTTTTGCTTATGTGGCATAGCGGGCGATTGACGTAATCTGCCCATGGCGGAAGTGCCAAGAGCTATTGATACAGCGTTATGGTTCTTGAAGTTCTTCTTGAGTATCTAAGGTGCTTTAAGTCACGTTTGCCTACAAAAGGAACTGCGGCCCGAACAAGGGCGCCATGGAACTATCATGGGGGGCTTTCCTTTGACAGGGCAAAGCCATCCGTAGCTTCTTCTTTCGAGGTCATCCATCGATGCACCATCATTGTCACCCAGCACTGCTGTGAGCAGCGAGATCGTGCACCGCCCAGCTCCCTATCACCCTATATCCCTCCCGTTCACCCTCGCCCGTTAGCCCCTTCCCGCCACATTTCCGTTCCCTATCACTTGTTGCCATCCATCCCTTGCTCCAACAAGTTCATGATCAGCTCCATCACTGTGCTGTCATCCCAACACCAAGTGACAATATGTAATCAGCAGCTGCCTTCATGATGCCGACCGAGCTGCGGTAGCCTGATAGTGGTCCACAGGGTGGCTGCAAGACAGACGGTCCGACACATCCAAGTGCAAGAGAGTGTATGTATGATGTATGGGACAGGGGGGTCATATCTTCACCCTGCAGCCGCTACCCTGCGAAACCCTGCCTTCCCCGGTATTTCGGGGCACCCTCATCCAGTCACCCTAGTCAACTTCTCAGTGGATCGCTCAGGTTCCGCACCTACCACCAGCATCCAACGGAATCTGCCGGGTCAACAGCGGCCCAACTCCATTCCTGGTCGGCTCGCAGGTTAACTTTATCCCAGGTCACCACCGTCCATCGACTAGGGACACTTTTACCTTACACCCGTTAGCCCCCCACATCCCTGTTCCCTACCACCCGAGGGTGTGTGTATGAATGTGTGTATGTTTGGTCAAGCTTTGGTGTTGAATTCGTGTTAAACATCTGACGCAACTTGACTGATGGCTTTTTATTATGTCCTGAGTCCCAGGGGTCCCAGGTCTTCACTCCCATCCAAGTGCCACCCGAAAAGTGGAGGCCCGAGTGGCCGTCGAAGAACTTGCCGATGACAGAGGGAGAGATTCTGTGCGGAGAAGACGTTTGCCGTTCAAGGTCCATAAAGACCGTACGGAAAGAAAGCTCCGAGAAACCTAGCTAAGCTGTAACATGTCCATTACCTCTGTCTCAATATATACAGAAGGAAAAGTATTGCAGACGAAAGGTGCAGGCGCAAGGAAATAGGTAGAGTTCGTCTGTGGCAAACCACCTTTCCAACACGCATGTAACTTGATACTTGTATTGAATTATTTCAACGTTCAGGTAGGGCGGCCTACTCATTCTGGTTTCTTATATGTTCTGGACGGTCGTTAGTGCATAGGCACCACTCGTTTGCAGGGTGGCATACGAAGTGGCGGACATTGTTTTATACGACTACAAGGAACACGACTACAGCTTTCGCGCTCATTTTCACAGAGGAAGCGGTTCGCTATTCAATGCCCGTCCCTCTTCGCTCACCCGCACCGGCGACAAGCGATGGGCGTCTGGGCCAGCGGAAAGGCTCGAATGTGCAGCAAACGGCACATCGCCGGCTTAGCATTAACGCCACACCTGTGGCTGTCGTCGCTGCGACAAAGGAGCAGTCTGCACCGGGTCAGCAGCCTTCCGATCGCAGCAAGGCTACCAAGAGTGGATTCACGCGCCCCGAGGAGTCCTTAGTGCCCCCACGGAGCTCGACGGAGAGTATCGATTGGTTCTACTCCGAAACAGCGCAGAGGGAGTGGGTAAGTTGTCAGTGGAGTGGGTTACCTAACAACCCAGGGCTACAACGGAGGGTCGAAACTGGTCGCTGGTCGGCACCCCCCAGCACTGCGCCCGGCCAGACTACATTCCTACCATTCATACCAAACAGGACGGTCAGGACGCGGGCGGGAATGGGCTTTCCGGCCTGGCGGCTGGGCCTCTGGCTGAATGCATCCTGGCACGAGCGAAACACACAGAGACACACACACACAGAGACACACACACACAAACACACACACACACAAACACACGCGCGCGCGCGCACATTTACATCCCACATACACGCCAGACAGGAAGCAGAAGATTTTCAGCTTCTCTGTTTAGGTGCACCTGCCGACCGCTTCCCTGTTTTCCTTCGCGCCGCCCTTCGTACCGCTTTTGCGCCTCACCCAGCGGCGTCTCCCCGCCACCATCAACTAATCAGAACCATTCACCATCAGAACCGTTGATTATTGGAACTCCCATTGCATGGGCTTTTGAATCTCTCGTGATGGGGTTCCGCATGACTCGTGGTTTCAGGCCCTTGGCCTGCGTGGAACCACTGGCACCCCGCTGCACCCCCTCCATGTCCTGTCCGTCCACCCGTCCAGCCGTCGACCACCATCAGCACCACACCGCTTACAGCCGCTGGTTCATCGTCAACAATTGATATTCCTGTTGCCGCCGCCTCCCCGCCGCCTCACCCAGCCGCATTTGTTGTTTCTGTTCTGTGGGGTTTGCAAATCTCGGGTCATCACGTTGTCACCAGTGCCACCGCCTTCACCAGCTCTGTGACTCTCATCACCTGACTTATCATCATCACAGCTGTTATCATCACCGCAGTTATCACCGCAGTTATCACTATCACCATCATCGCTACCACTACCGTGTCACTGGTGCCGCAGGTCCAGGCCATGGAGCTGGATACCCTCACCCCGGAGATGCCGCTGCTGCTCAAGGAGATGGGCATGAACTACGACCCCGACCGGCTGGCGGCAGTGCTGAACAAGCGCTGGCCGCAGGTCTACACGCGCGCGGTCCAGGTGCGTCTGGTGGCGTAGTCTTCCGCCCTCCCTCCCTCCTTTCCCTCCCTCCCTCCTTTCCCTCCCTCCTTCCTCTCCCTCCCTCCCTCCTTTCCACTCTCCGACTGCCTTCAATTATACTACGCGAGATGGTGACTTAGAGACCTAACTCGCAGTCGTCGGCCGTTTTTTTCCCTTGCACCATCACCATCATCCATTTTTCTCTCTCTTTCTCTTTCCCTTTCTATCTTTCCCTCTCTCTCCTGCTGCAGCGCATTTGGTGTTGACACTCAATACCCCTCCCCCCTTCCCCCTTCCCCCCCCTGCAGGTATCCGCAACTCTGGGCGGCTTCACTGCGGCGGTGGCCCGGGACTACGCGCTGGGGCAGTTCGAGGCCAACATGCCACAACGGGCTCGGGAGCTGCGGACCCTGCTGGGAAAGCTGGGGTGAGCTGAGCCGGGTATTAGCTGAGGGTGCGGGGTTGCAACCGGAGGGGGGGCCGGGTTGGATTGGGGCGGGTTGGATTTGGATAAGGTTGGGTGGAGCCAGACCGCGTGGTTGGTTGGCCCGAGTGGGTTGAGGTGAGGTGCCGTTTTCGTGTGTCGGTGTTGTGTGTGTGTGTGTCGGGGTGTTCATTCCCCGCCCTGCCTTGACATGCGCCCCGGTCATCGAGCTGCCTGTCCAGCACCCGTGTCCCACCCCCTCCCGCCCTTCGCTGCGGCCTTCACTGCCCTTCGGCCCTTTTCCCCCCCCTCCTTTCCCCCGTCCCCACTGCCGCAGCCCCGCCCTGGTGAAGATCGGTCAGGCGCTGTCCGCCCGTCCCGACCTGCTGCCCCGCACCTACCTAGAGGCGCTCTCGGAGCTCCAGGACCGCCTGCCCTCCTTCCCTAACGAAATCGCGTTTGCGGTGAGTGCCTTTGTGTGGGGGGTTGGGGGTGTGGGGGGCACAGGAGAGCATTGGAGGGGGGGGGTGGGAAGGGGGGAGGAGCGGGGCCGGGGCGTTTCCTCGTGCAACCTCCTAAACAACGCATAGGCCCCTTTCATCCGAGACGTAGCTTACCGCATGTCTGTGAGGTGTCTGTTCCATGTTCCTCTCACCATGTGCCATCTGCTCGTGCCCCCGCCCCGCCCCGCCCCGCCCTCACTGAACTTCACGGAACTGAACTGAATGTTGTACGGCGGGGGGTGCGTGTGGCGGTGGTCCCCCAGGTCATCGAGGAGGAGCTGGGTCAGCCGGTCACGGAGCTGTTTGCTGAGCTGAGTGAGCTGCCCGTTGCGGCGGCCAGCTTGGGACAGGTCGGTGCATAGGGTGCGGTTTTATGTGTGTTTGGGAGCGGGGGGTTGTGGGGTTCGGGTGGGAGGAGGATGGGGGGGTGGGTGGACATGGGTGGGGTGGGGACATGGAAACTTGCTTCATGTATGTTTGTGTTACGTATGTATGAATGCATGTATGAATGTGTGTATGTATGTATGCTTGCATGATCGTCTCACTCGTACTCACATAGAGTAAGGGGGGGGAAATTGAGGTGCCGGGGGTTCGTGTTCGTCCCCCACCCCCAACCCCGTCCCCAGTCCTGTTAGGTATATGGCCACCACCACAGCACCGCCGTCTTCCCCAAAGGCCTCCACCACCACCCCACCCCCGCCCCACCCCAACCCCCACCCCCCAACCCCCCAACCCCCGTCTCCAGGTGTACCGGGCTCGGCTGCGTGACGGCACTGACGTGGCAGTCAAGGTTCAGCGGCCCAACATCGGGGAAACCATAGCTGTGGACATGATGCTGCTGCGCCGGCTTATGGGGGTGGTGGACCAGCGGCTACCGCAGCTAGGGGTGGGGCAGGGGGGGAGGAATGGGAGGGGGTCTTAGGAGTTGGCGGGCTTAGGGTTGTTTCTTAGTGGGGCGGTGATGGGCTGTGAAGAGGAGGGCATCAACCTTTTTGGCGGAGAGGGGGTGAAGGCGACAGCGGAGGAGGAGAGGGAGGGGGTGAGGGGCCCTGCGCCAGCCCCTGCAGCCGCTGAACTGTGTTGCCGTTGTACTGCTGTGTGTTTTCTTTCACGCCTCGTCCTCCTCGTCCTCCTCCTCCTTTTCCTGGCGCTCCCGGCAGCCCCATCGCCCCCATTTGCCAATCCCTACCTACCCCACCCCCCGGACCCCCTTACCTACCCTTACCTGGTACAGATCAGTCAGCCGCTGGTGCCGCTGGTTGACGAGTTCGCGAGGCGCCTCTTCGCGGAGCTAGACTACGTGCAGGTGGTGGGGGTGGGGGTGTCCGAGGGGGGAGGGGGGAGGGGGGTGTACGGCCCACGGACCAAAACATTTGTCGGTAATGTAATGTCGGCTTCACTTTCGGAACCACTAACAAGACCCCCTCCCCTTTCCCTCCCCCCCATACACACAACTCGGAACCACGGGTCACGAGATCACTTCATCGCCCACTGCACCCACTAGGGGCAGTTTCGGACCTCCTCTTGGACACCAGCAATGCACTTCCCACTTTCTCGCATATGAGGCTTCCCCCTTTCCTACCCCCCTTTCCTACCCCACTGCTTCCGCCGGGATCTGCTGCCGCCAGTGATGCAGGATGCAGTGCCTGGGGGTGCCCCGGGCCTCCCCTCCCCTTGCCCCCTTCCCACCCCCCCAAAACACACGCATACACACATGCTGATGCTGCTGCCGCCGTGCCATGCCGGGTCGGGCACTCCCTGCAGGAGGGCCATAACTGCGAGCGCTTCCAGGCACTGTACGGCACCATGCCTCGTGTTCGTACACCCAAGATTTACTGGCAGTACACCTCCCGCAGGTGGGTTGGGGGGCGACGGGGGGGGAATACAAGGAGCTCCAAGTGTGTGTGTGTGTGCAGTCACTTGGGTTGGATCTGGGGAAGGTGGGGAGAAGGACCTGTCATTCCCTGCTCCACTTCCTTGTGGACGTCACCTTTGGCAGTTTTGTCCTCCGGGGATTACTACTTGCTGTCTGGTGTGTTTCCTCCTCCGACCCTTACCCTTCCCCTTGTCCTTGTCCTTGTCCTTAGTCGAAACCATGAGTCGGTTACTTCAACGCTTTGGACTCACTGAGGGGCAGTTACGGACTTTGGACGCCTTCCGGCCTTGTTGTTCATTCATTGTTTCTTTGCATATATGATCCCCCTGCCCCACCCCACCCCGTCCTGCAGTTAGCAGTTGATTACCCCCCCACACAAGGGCACCCGCATATCCTCCGTCCTCCTTCACACCCCGTGGTGGTGGTTATGTACGATGTACTGCAGAGTCCTGACCATGGAGTGGATCGAGGGCGTCAAGCTCACGAACAGCCCCGCCATGGCGGCTGCGGGGCTGGATGTGGTGGACTTTGTGGACGTGGGAATTGAATGCACGTTGCGGCAGCTGCTCGAACACGGGTACTTCCATGCAGGTGTGGGCGTGTGCCTGTGTATGCATGTATGTATGTATGTGTACTTACTTGTGAGAGAGTGGGGAAGTACATGGAGGGGAGGGGTCGTTAGGGTTTTTTCACGGGGGGCCGGGGGGCGGGGGAAAGCGAAGAGGGGTATGTGTCCAAAGGATAGGAGGGGGGGTTGTACCACCTAGGAGTGCTGTCCAAAAAGGGAGGGGGGAGGGAGGGGGGAGGGGAGGGGGGGGAGACACATTTCCATTGTCAGGCACGGTGTGTGTGCTTGAAGGGGTAGTCTACCTGGTGATGGTGTTTGGGAGCGGGGGTGGGGGCGCTATCAGACCTCGTACCGCCTCGCCGTACCGCCGTACTGGTCTGATGTCCCCCCTATCTGCCCTCCGCTCACTTCCCCCCGGGCCACCCCGCACCCGCACCCTCCCCGACAACAACCCAACCCCCGACCCCGCCGGGGGCCTCGCCGAATGTGTTCCGCGGCCCGAACGTCCACCGGTCGTACGTCCGTACGGCACTTTGATTCCTCCATCTATACCTGGCGCCAGACCCCCATCCGGGTAAGCCTTTAACTTTAGCCCTCTAGCGGCTTGTGGGGGTGGTACTGTTTTGAGCGCGCGCGTGTGAAACTTGGGAGGGGCCCCGGCTGGTTGGCGGCGGGGGGAGGAGTCGGTCTTGTCCGGAGGGGCTACTTCTCACACAACAAACACATGGTTGTGGTAAAACATACTTTCGAGAAATAATTGCAAAAATTCCAGTCAAGTCGTCGTTTTCCTTTCTCCAACCGTAACCAGCTCTCCCCTCCCCGCCCCGGCGGCCCTCCCCCCCTCGCCCCGGCCCCAGGTAACCTCCTCGCCACACGATCCGGTGATCTGGTGTATCTGGACTTCGGCATGATGAGCGAGGCGCCGCAGTACGCCCGGTACGCCATCATGGCGCATGTCGTACACCTGGTCAATCGGTGAGTGGGAAGGACGGGAAGGGTAAAGGGCCGTGTGGGGAATGTCCATGTCCGGGTTTTACTTCTCCTCCCCTCTTTTAACCCTTTCCGCTCTCGTTCCCTCCCTGGCTCCTTCCCTGCCCCCCCTCTTTTAGTGACTATGAGGCCATGTGCAAGGACTACTATACGCTGCAGTTCATGGACCCCTCCGTGGACACCTCCCCCATAGCCCCCGCGCTTGCGGCCTTCTTCGACGATGTGCTGCAGTCCAGTGTATCGCAACTTAACTTCAAGGCCATTGTGGACGGGCTGGGCGAGGTGCTGTTCAGGTGCCCTTGTGTGGGGGGGGAGAGAAGAAGGAGCGGGAGGGGTGATGTAGTAGAAGGGTGAGCGGTGGAAGGGTGAGCGGTGGAAGTGGCCTTACGTCGGTTCTTGTTCTGCAGCTGTTACCGCCGTACCGGGGTCCTTCCTCTTGCGCTGCTCTTGTGCTCTCTTCCTGATGCGTATAGGTATTCAAATGAACTGAGCCGCGTGTCTGTATGTGTGTCTGTCTGTATGTATATGTGTGCTATTTACCTTTCCCCCCTCCTGTTGACCAGGTTCCCGTTCCGAGTACCCGCCTACTACGCCCTCATACTGCGTTCCCTCACCGTGTTGGAGGGGCTCGCGCTGCAGGTGCGTGTGCGGTGTGTCTGCCTATATGTATGTATGTTTGTGTGCGTGTGTGCGATATCTGTGAGTGCATGTGCCGCGAGGTATGGACGGCGAGGGAGGGAGGGAGGGAGGGAGGGAGGGTTCCAGTTGCAATCCTTTCCTTTCTTCAGTTGGCAGTCTACTTCCCGACGTCTGTACGTATGTCTCACGATGCGCCTACCCCTGCAGGCTGACCCGAACTACAAGCTGCTGGCCAAGGCCTACCCCTACATGGCCAAGCGCCTGCTCACCGATCCGGCCCCCGAGCTGAGGGAGAGCTTCGAAGACCTAATCATCAAGGTACTCGACAAGACGGCCGTTCTGGATTTTCAAGTCATGAGGGGATGGGCGGCGCCCCCCCGCCCCTCAGCCGTCACCTCCCCTTCCCTACCTGACCACCCAGCCCCCCCCCCTGCACTAATACACCCGATCTAGACTGGATGTATCAGGCGTATCATTTTACCTTTCTCCCTTCTTGCACCATCATCCACATGTGGTTTTCGTGTGCACCACCCAGTGCTCGTCCCCCTCGCCCCTCTTTGGTATCTGCTCCACTCGCCAGTGGTTCGTCCCCTCACCCCTCGCCCCTCAAACCCGCCCGCACCCACCCATCCCGAGGTCACAGTCGCCACGGACGCCTTTCGGTCAGTTTTTACGTTTGCTACTCTCTTGCCCTGGCAGCAGCTTCAATCGTGTGTGGTTCGTCTTTCCCCCCTCTCCCCCCTCCCACCCCTCCCCCCTGCTACTCTCTTGCCCTGGCAGCAGCTTCAATCGTGTGTGGTTCGTCTTTCCCCCACCCCCACCCACCAAACCCAGGACGGCCAGTTCCGTTGGAGTCGGTTGGAGAACCTACTGCGCGAGGGCTCCAAGTCCTCGGACTTCGACCCCACCCAGCTGTGGCTGTTGGCGGAATGGCTGCTGTCACCCGGCGCGGCGGGTGTGAGGGCGACCGTGGTTACGGAGCTGGGCAGGGTCATCGACGCGGCGGCGGCGGCGGACGTACGACAACGGATCGAAGCGCAGTGAGTGGCGGCGGGTGATGGTTGCGGTTACGGCTAAAGTTCTTGGTCTTGATTCGTTGCCACGTTGCATGGAGCAGCGACGGCGGACAAGGGGGAGGAAGAGGAGGGAGAGGCGGAGAAGACGTGAATCTTGTGCAATAGGAACCGGCGAATATGTATGTCCGTATGTACGTGAGTGTGTATGTAACTACTGCCGCATCGCACTGCTGCTGCGGGTGTGGACAAGCGTGCTGGCACTCTTGGCGCAATCTGACGCGCCTGGCGAGGTGTGTTCCCCAGCACTTTGTTGCTGTTGCTGTTGCTGTTGTCGCAGGACGGGCGACCGGGCGATTGCGGAGACGTTGGTGCCCCCTCAGCCCGCTGAAGCGGAGGCGCAGGAGCGGGCTGCGCTGCTGCTCAGCTCCATCTCCTCGCGCCTACAGCTGCAAGAGCCGCTACAGCTGCAGGTATGCCCACACCACCGCTACAGTTGTAGGGTTTGTGATGTAATAATCTTAGGTAATTTAATAATCCCGCCGGCTCTCCACCGTAACTCGCCTGGTGTTCCTGACCTGACCTGACCTGACCGTGTATGTGTGCGTGCGTGCATGCAGGGCAGTGGTCCCTTTGGCGTCATCACCCCGCAGGACATCCAGCGCACCGTTGCCCGCCTGCGCGCCGTACTGGCCGCCACAGCCCCGCGGGTCAGTGCGCTGTTGGAGCAACCCGGAGGTGTGGAGATCGTCAATGGTCTGGTCTCGCAGCTCACGCGCCGTCTGGCTGCACGGGCGATCAAGTTTGTGTTCGGGGCGCAGCAGGCACTGGCAAGAGGAAGCGGCGGCGGCGGCGGCGGCGGCGGTGCTGGCGGCAGCGGACCACAACCCTTGAGCGCGTAAGCATAAGCATAAGCTTCTTGGTCGCATGGAGGAGCTGGCGAGCTGGCGGGCTGGGGTGTGTGTGTGTGTTTGGCGCGGGTGGGCCTTTATCGTTCGGAGTCGCGTGGGCCGCCTTCGTTCACCCCGTACACCCAGATAGGAGAGGCCTTTGGCTGGGGCGTGTAAGGGTGCTTTTACCTCGTCACGGTATGTATGTATGTACGTCCGAGGTGATACGAGAGGGAGAGCGGCGGCTGTTGGCGGCGATGACGGTGCGCCTGGCTGCAGCCCCCCTGTACATTGGTCTGGTTTTACGATATCGAATATCACCCATTACATCAAAGCTGGTACGAGTGGTGTAATACTAGCCGTTGAAATTGAGAGTTCGTGAGTTGGCGGGAGCAGAACAGCTTCAGCTCGGTGCAGTGGAGTGCAGGGATGTGTTGTGAACTGGCCTATCGCTGGGAATGCGGTGGGCTGGAGAGGAAGGCAGGCGGTGTGTGTATATGTCGTTATGTATGTATGTGTGTCGTGAAGAGTTTGAGGGTGTGAATCGTAATTTTCTCGCGTCGAGAATGCCGATCTCGGATGGCCTTTTAATCATTTATGTGTTGTCTTTTTATGTGGGAGGCTTTTGAGGATAGCGTCGGCTGTGACAACAAGCACAGGCGGAGGAACGAAACGGCTTGGAGGACTGGGATGGCGGCATGGGATAGGGCGCCTAGAGATCGGGAGTAAACTTATGAAATGTATTTCATGTTGTTTGGCGTGCGTAGTGGGTGTTGGGTTGAAGGGAGGGTGTAGAAAGCAAGATGTGTATTGCATGGCAAGATTTGTGGGTCGGGCGCGGAGCTAGGTAGGCACTTCGTAAAGGTCTGTATGCGTCGTGGCAGCTGAGAGCGAAGGGTAAGCGGTATAGGGTGATGTGCATTTTTGCATATCGGTCTACAGCGTGTTTCGTGCAAGTGGTAAATTTGGATAACGTCACTGCTGCGCCAACAACAGGAAAGCGACGGCGGGCGCAAATGTTATGCATCTGTGCCTAGTGTCTGCTCTAACTCAGGGTGTATGGAGTGGTGGTATGCTGCATTGCATTATAAAACGGCTTCCCATAACACCATTGTGCAAACACAAAATTGCATTACTGTCTCAGGCGTACATACCCATTACACCAACGCTTACGATAAACAAGCTAGAGAAATTGCTGATCAGATGTCTAATAAATAATAAAAAAAGTCAGTGCTAAAATTCATTTAATAAGTTCTGAATTGACGGTAGTTTTGCAGATAAAATTGGAATTTCTGGCTTACGCCATCATAAATAAACTTATCGTTTAGGGCATAACTTCTCGCGGATTCCTTGAATAATGCTGAACCATTGGCGTCAAAAAGGTGCCATATCATAGGCTTCTATCCCGTGAGGTACGAAGGGCTATTTCGATGAATGTTGACCGGTTGAGCAGATTTTCAGGAACATTTCATATATAATTATTGCAGTTATTGCAGTGGATGGTAAGCAAGTCATGATCGAGGCTGCATGCGATGCTCCGCATCCTTTTTTAAATCTTGGAACCATGTCCTGCATGCCTTGCACGGCAGGACACATCGTGAAGGCGGTTAGGCAGGATCTACTCCTAGGGCAGATTGCTGGCAGTCATTCCTGGACAAAACTGTTGCATTTTGCACCTTTAAAAGCTGAAGGTAATGCCAGCGCGCCGTTAGCGACGCCTATAATGTCAGAGGCACGCGTTCTTCGAGAACGTAAAAAAGTAATTAATTATAGTGAAGACGCGGTCCAGCAGCGCGCCCAAAGGAAGGTTGCCGACTTGATTGGCGAACGTCATAAAACCCGCAGCAGCAAACAAGCTGGTGGGACGGATAAGGAGAATCGACGGAAAAGGGAACGGTGAGAAATTCGCTTTAAGGCACCCGGTGTAACGACCCAGGCAGGGAAGGGTCGCGAGTTTGAACCTTGTCTTGTGCGTGCCTTTAACTGATGTATGGCTATCGGTACAGGCTTGAATCACTTTCGTTAACTGATTCGGAGTCTGGTGGCAATTCTGAAAATGACAGCGATGGTGGTCCGTCACATCCACCAGCGAAACGTGCGGCAACTAGCAAAGGAGTCCATGGCGACGCCACTGAGGACAATCACGATGAAGCGAATGCATTTATAGCCTTCTCTCGGCCAGGCAGGCGTCCAACGCCACGGCAGCCTGCCAAGCCACAGGGACGTCCTACCCGTGCAGCAGCTGCTTGTGCCTCTCGCCGCATCTGCAACGCAACCACCAACGACGAAGAGGAAGAACAGGAGGAGAAGGAAGACTGTGCTGCGGCAGGTGGAAGCACGCGGCGGGCCGACCAGCCCGCTCGTGCGGCTGCTGCAGCGGCCAAGGTGCGGCTGCGCCGAGGGACGGCAGCGGCAAAGGGCCGGGGCTGTCACAGCCTGGACGCAGAAGGATCCGAGGAGGACAGCAAGAAGCAGGAAGCTAGGACGCGCGGCAGCGGCGCTAAGAGCGCTGGAGGAAAGGGTGGTGCTGACGCGATGGCAATTGACGACTCAGGTTCAAGTGGCGATAGCGAGTCGGATGAGGATGAGGAGATGGAGGAAGTTGGGCTGACTGTACGTGGAAAGCCATCAGCTAGCAAGTGCGTGCAGGACGCGCGCGTACTCCCACCACTTGCGAGCGTGTTTCCCTGCGGACTAGGAGGGGTTTGCCGCCAAGTTCCTAACCGTCGGGTTTGCACATGGATGGGACGAAGGGTCTGGGCGTGCCCAGAGATCTGGGTTTGGGTGTTTAATGAGCGCCGTCCTTAGATGACTATCGTGCCAGCTCTGACATCTAGGAGAAACAGCCAGGTCGCGGCAGGTGCGATACACACGGAATATCTGTCCTTCGCTGCAGCGTTGTGGCCCCACTCCCACACCAAGGTTATCAAGCGGCCGCCATCAACAGAAGGACTTGTTCGTGCCATTTTCCTAAAGCTGCTGTGCATTACATCGTTTCGCTGCAGGCTGCCTGGAGCACGGTGCAAAAAGCCTATGCGAACTTGTGCGCGCTCTGCTGGCACTGTCGCCAAGACTTCCAAAAAAAAGGAGCAGGAGGAAGAGTCTTCGGAGGGCAGCGAGGGCAACACCGGGCTGGAGGACGATGACGACGATGATGATGAGGACTTCACGGCTCCGAGCAGGCGGGAAACTGCTGCTGGCCGGCGTGGCAGGCTGCGCCAGCCCAGTCGTGGGAAGGCAGCTAGCAGCGACAACGATGACGACGAAGACGAAGACAGCAGTAGCGAAGAGGAGGAGGAGGAGGACGAGGCGGGTGTCGCGCGTGTTGCGGCCCGTGGCAACAGGAGGTGCGACACTGAGGACTCAGATGTTGAGCTCATTAACGATAGTGGTGATGATGATGATGATGAGGCGGCGGAGGAGGAAGATGGGGACGAAGCCAGTAGCGAGGAGGGGAAGGAGGAGGCGGAGGAGAACCCCGTGCGACGAGGACGTGGCAGGCCGCGCAAAGAGGGTGGCAAGGCTGCCCGAGATAGTCCGGCTAGGGGGAAAGGACGGAAGCAGCAGCCCAAGGCCGCTGGGGCGGCCGCAAAGAAAGCCCTGAAGGGCCAATCCGCGCAGAAGGGGAATGCAAAGGAGGAGGTGGGGAAAATGGCGGCAGCCGGCGGCGGCTCGAAGAAGCACAAGGGTCCCGTGGAGCGAATCCTTTCGTACGACTCGGCGAAGGACAAGTACTTGGTGAAATTGAAGGGTGAGGCATCGCGGTCAGGAATCGGGGCCGAGGTCTGTCAGCATCGCTTGTGGACTCTGCGGCGCAATTTGGGTAGCGGCAATGAAGCATGGAATGCGCGGATATGGCGGTCCTTATGTGGGGACTATGACATGCCTCTGATCCTCATCTCATGCCCCGGGGTAACTAGGCCCGTATGTTACCGACAGCGCACGGTAGTTTTCTCGAAGTATGTCCTGGACGAATCAATCGAGATAGGGTTTGAAAGGTCTCCCCCACCCCCTCACACACACACCTCACAGTTGTAGCACCTCCTCAGGTTTTGAGTCATTTCGCTGCATGCGTCTTTGCGTCTGCTTATGCGCTTACCTGTTTCGGTCTAATTGGACTGCCACGGACTGTTACCACCCTGTCGCCGTAACCACTGCCGCCTGTTACAACCCTTCCGCCATTCGCATGTTCGACTGAACCCTGCGCTCTTGGGCGGTGGCGGTGCCGGTGGCGGCTTCTCAATCCCCCGCAGACGTGTCCTACCGCCACACCACATACGTGACTCAGTCCCACCTGGAGAAGTTCAAACCAAACTTGTTGCGCAGCTTCCAAAATCGCGAGGAGGCTGTGGAGGTGGAGGCGGAATGGCTGCAGGTAGGCTGCGTCATAAGGTTTCAGTGTGGCAAGAGAGCTGCTGTTGAAAAGGGGGTCTGAGAGGGGTCCCAACGCGGCACTCGTGCCACGTGCGCCTTTTGTGTAACAACTGTCATTGTTAGACACACCCTAGCAGTAGCAGCAGCAGTAGTAGTACTTCGCCCCGACTGTAAAATAGCCTTACCCGCAGCTTTCTGTTCCGCGCGCAGCCATACTTGCAAGAATTTGCACGTTTAGCGGTGACGTGACCTCCTCGCTCCCCTTACAGACCGTTTCAACCGCTAGTGTTACACACCCAGCCGGCTCCCATCTCTTTTGCCTTCCACACGGCTTCGCGCAAGGCGCCCGCTATTAAAGTGATACTATGTACCCACATTCTAGCAGGCTGGGCTGGAGTCAAAAGCTGTCCAACGGCGGCAGGAAATGCCCTTCCTATTTCGCCTTTGGCTTTTTATTTTCTCCGGGGTTCCGAAAGAATTTCCGGGGTTCCGTTCTCCGGGGTTCCCGGTGTTGTCGTCGCCTTGAGGCTTTTGCATACCGCTGGTCGACGTGTGGTTTGTTCAATGTCCCGTACTGTACTGCACACAGGTGGACCGAGTCATCGCTGCCCGCACCGTTAGCACCCCAGGCCGCCAGGGCAAGTCGCGACAGCTGCTGATAAAGTGGCGCGGCCTCGAGTATTCGGACAGCACGTGGGAGAACGAGGAGGAGCTCCAGTCCCCTGAGGACAAGGTGCGCAGCTGCAGTCGACCTGCGTGCACAAGGGCAACGGAAGAGCAAGTATTCCTCGACGTGCCTTATTTGCTTTGGTAGAGCGCTACGCACGGCTAATCCGCAGCCTGCTCCGTTTGCTTCTTGCTTGATGACATGAGCTCATGACAGCTGCATCCTGCCTTCCAGTCCTTCGCAAACCGAACCGAAGTTTCGTTTTCCCTCCAGTCCACAATCTGGGTCCCGTTGCGCCAACCAACCTATCCACTGCAGGCGGCCATTGAGCGGTTTGAGCGCATCAACGGGCCAACGGCGGCAACTGGCAAGAAGCAGCCCGACGGCACTCCACAGGCGCTGCGCCAACCGGGTTTTGAGCTGCCCACATTCTGCAACGAGCGCTCACTGCGAGACTATCAGCAGGTGCGTGGTGGGCGGCGGGTGGCGGGCAGCACTGCGTTTGTAGCATTGTGCTAGTGGATGGAGGATACGAGTTGAGCACAAAGGCCACGAGGCGGCTGGCGGGGTCGTGAAGAGGGGTAGTAGGGAACAGCCAAGCTTGCTTGCTCTTGCGCGTGGGGAGCTGCTTGGGGTCCAGGCCGGTCTGCGTGTGCGGCGAGTCTGTTCTTAGTCGTTTTGTCCGCAGTCGCGGTCGTAATAGTCCACTCACCTCTTTGCTTGCTTCCTTACAAGGGACTGGCTATGGCTGGTCTGGCCTGGTACGCCGTCGAGGAACGTAACCCGTGGTCAGCGCTCCGTGTGAAGCTAGTGCTACGCACCCAAAGCCGTGGCTTTTACCTCTCGCGGTTCACCGCCTGATCTTGTTGGACCAGGTGGCTAGTAGTACAGTGCCGATGTTGACGAGTTTTCTTAACCTCCTCCGGCCTATCTCCTCCTGTTACCTTGTTGTGCTCTTGGCTGCTGATCAACACGGGTTCAATACACGGCAGGTGTCGGTTCGCTGGATGGTCAACAACTACTGCCAGCGCCGCAATTGCATCCTGGGCGATGAGGTGAGCACCTGGCCTCCTCCGTCTGCCTGCCCTTTCCACCGATCTAGATAGCCCCGGGCTGACTACGGGCTGACAGCACCAAGGCGACTCCGTCGGGATCACCGTCTTGACCCTCACACTCCCGCCCTCGCCGTTGTCGTCGCGACATTGGTCTCCCGTCTGCCCTCCTTGTTGTTGATCCCTCCCTCCCTTGTGGCCCTCCCTGCTGCAGATGGGCCTGGGTAAGACCGCACAGAGCATCTCCTGTCTGGAGGTGCTGCGCTCTGTGGGCGGCATTCCAGGGCCCTTCCTGATCGTAGCCCCATTGAGCACGCTGGGTCACTGGCAGCGGGAAATCCAGACGTGGACGGACATGGTGGGTGGGATTGGGATCGGGCGGCTGGTCCTGTCCTGATCCGGCGCAGGTTATGGACCTATATGCGCTCCACATCGCACGTGTACACGTCCCCGCACAAACATATCCACAAGAACCGCAAGCAGCTGGTTTTCCCGGTGGTGGTATCCTAGCCGCCGCGACTGGCTAGACGCACCAAGGGTGTATCCTCTCCTGACGGGAATTGGGGGAAATGCTCTTTCAAACCCAGATGGGTTGTGGACTCATTCGGTGGGACGCATTCGGTGGGTTTCTTGGAACTGAATGGATTGTCGCAGAGTAGTCGCAATAGTTGTTGCCATTCTTCGCGCTCGTCGTCTTAATTGTTCCATTTTTTTATCTTTCCCAACGGACCACAGAATGTTGTCTTCCTATCTGGCACGGCCGCGGACCGCGCCGTCATCCTGGAGCACGAGTTCTACCGGTCGCCGGGTTCCACTGCTGGAGTCCGCAACTCCCGCAAAGAGATCAAGTTCAACGTGCTGCTTGTGTCGTACAACACGCTCCTTAAGGTGCGGCTTGGAGGGCGTATCCTATAGCGTGCGGCGTACAGACTGCAGTGCCGTTTGCGGTCTTTTGCTGGTACCAGTTTCCTTGTCGATCATCATCGTCGTCGTCATCACCAAGATCACTATCATCGCCATCATCATCATCATCATCATCATCATCATCATCATCATCATCATCATCACCAACATCACGTCTCTCGGCTTCCTTACCGTATCTCCTCAATGACCTGTCAATGCCAGCGCTGGCGTTCACCAGTGCCCGCTGCCAGTTGCTACGCGAGCCGCTGGGGCCCCACCCTCTGTCGCGGTCGCTGCCCCCCCAACGGGCCCCATGTTTGTAACGTTCGGACCTCCACCTTATCGTCCAGGAGCGCTCCTTGCTCGGCACCGTGTCCTGGGCTGCCGCCGTGTTCGACGAGGCCCACCGGCTCAAGGGCATCAACAGCTCCACTCGCGCTGCAGTTGAGGATCTGGACATTGATTGGCTGCTGCTGCTCACAGGCACGTGGTTGGGTGGTGGAGTGGGGCCCGATAAGTGGGGGGAGGTCTTAGCGGCTCATAATTGGGCCCGATCATTGAGCCTTCGCTGGAATGACCGCAAGGGATAGAGTTTGCATGGAGGAGAGGCGGATGGCTGACAGGTTCACACCCGCTTGGTAACGTTCTTTTTAGTTACGCGGTCACGTTTTGTTACGTCGTCCTTCCTTGCGCGGCTGAGGGAAAAATGTCTGGACGTGAGGGAATTCGCGTTACAAGAGAGGTGATGTTCGTTTTCGCTTCTCTGTTATTGGTTTTGCATACTTGTCATGTTCGTGATTCGTGTCTCGTTGCGATGTGAAACTACTTGGGTAGCGGCACCGCGAGGTTCACTCCTGCATGTGCCCCTCCCGGTCTTCCTCTTCCGCTTCCGCAGGCACGCCCATCCAGAATAATATGCTTGAGGTGGGTGCGAGGGTGTATGATATGGGTTCCGTAGCCAAAGCTTGGTTTATTGTTGCAGAGGCACAGAATTGCAGGATGGACCTGTTGTGTCCGTTACCCCCACGCAAAAGCCTAGGCCAAAGCCATGGCTCTGTATTTCTTTCCAACATCAAGTCCGTCACCGCACCCTCCGTGCCTTCTTTGCCAACGATAGTGTTTTCCGGTGTGTAAGCATCGCGGAGGCACCTGCAGTGCTTCCTCACGCACTGCTCTGCACGATTACCTCCTTCCTCATTCACCTTAAAAAGAAGCTCTGAAGACCGGTTCCGCCACCGCAGCGTGTCTCCTGAGTCTGCTGTTGCTGCTACTGCTCGCCATCCTGACGCCCCAATGGCCCCACTTTCCCCGCAGCTGTACTCCATCCTTTCGCTGCTCGACCCCGACGGCTACCCCACCCCAGAGGACTTCACCAGCCGCTTCGGCGGCGCTCCGGGAGGGTCCCCGCCCACCGTGGAGCAGATCCGGGCGCTGCAGGTGAGTGAGACGGGCCACTAGTGCACTGTGCCTCCCGCCACAACGCTGATGGTTTGTGTGTGCAGCTTGCTCAAGCTCGTTACCCTTGTCTACGTATCGCACTCTACTTCCTAAGGCCGTTGTCAAACTGTTGAGATGGGTCTGCGTGGGGCCCTCCTTTCCCCTTTCGACCCACCTGCCGCGTATAACTGGCCCCCGCAAACATCCCCCCACCCCCCACCCC